AGAATGCCTTGATACAACATAATAGATGATGTGAGGGCGCAACTCACGAAGAGATTTGGCATTTTTTATGTATAATGAATATAATTTTGCCTAAGAACAAATGCACGTAAACAAGAAATTGTGATTGATTCTGTCAAAAGGCTTTTTCCTGGTCAAAAGCTAAAATATCCAGGAGAGTGTTTGTGACGTTACAGTAATTGAAAGCCTCACGCAATAGATTGATTGTTCTGTCAATATACTGGGATACTGTAGTCTTATTCAGGATTAAGGATTGAACCAATAACTGAACGAAAACGAAGTGTGTTCGTGAAGATCTAAACAATTATTACACCGGAAGCTAACTACCAGTTTTTAGTGATTTCCTCATTTTTGTTTCGTTTTGTAAAGTGATGTATAAACGTTTTGCGTGATATCACGTACAGTATCTCACAAAGACAGTTAGTGTTTTGTTTGTTTTTTTGTTCCGTTTCTCAAGTTTGACAAAAAAATATAATTGGGAACATCCGACTCATTTAAATATTTGTGACGGGCTAGAATAGCAGTTCCTCAGTTTTCGTGCTGTTCGAGGCGTGAAAGAGTTGCGTTTTTTCTGATAAGTACAAGGCTTCATTTTATTAATTAAGGCTTCCTCGTTCTCTTCATTCACTTGTTTAAAATGACATTAAATTACACTATTCCTCGGACCACACTTTGATATCATGTTTACAAATGTTCTATCATGTTCGCAAGTTTTTGATAGCATCACGTTGGGTTTGCCACAGGGACCATGATTCTGTAATGACTTTTGCTTATTCTGCGTTTTGAAGTACATCAATATTCAAACACCATACTGGATGTTGTTGTTTTATGTTGCCTTTGGTCAGTTTGATGCGCACTAGAAAGTTGTCTTAAATTGATAGCTTATTTGAATAGCGTTCAAACGATTGTGCATGTGTTTATAGATGTAAAAACACTTAAGGCGTAAGAGAGTGCTATAACGCCCCTGTTATGAAAGGGTCATCGTGGTGAGGGGACGAGCGTGCAGACGAATTATATACGTTACGATACGAGTGTTGTGTACACAAATTAGTTTATTACAGATAGTCCAGCTTTATTCATCTAAGCCGTCAGTTGAAGTAAAGGCCTGTTGCCCATTTTGTCCTTATTCTCTCTCTCTTTATTCTCTCATCTTGTCTAACAAAATCTTAAAAGATCTGCCATAAAACTAAACATTCCATCAACAAATCGCAGTAGTCAGTGGCACGATCACGTGATTACCAGGGATGTGTCTCGCGGTTAAAGCCATGCGAAATTGCCAATATTAAATATAATATAAATATAATATAAATATAAACAAACTATACAATTCCTGTAGTGTGTGTTTAAAATGCCTATCCTAAACATACAAGTTGTTGATTTCAAAGAATACTGCAACGGCGTGTGAACCAAGTGTACGTATGTGACCTCATTACGATAACACGCCCCTATGTGAAGTTTGTGTTTGTTTGTTTGGAGGGGTTTGTACAATATCTTCAATATTTCAGTATTAATGTTTTCGATATTAGCCTTGACTTTCACCCATTACATTTAATTTTTCTCAACAATTTAGTATGTGCACGTTTATTTTATAGTTGACATTTCTTTCATTTTGAAATTCTATCACTCTTTCTTCACTTATTTTAAACCTTCTGCTCTGAGTTTCAGTTTCCATTTTTTCAGTATTACTGTTTTATGTTCGTATATGTAAAGCACATTCCCCTAACATTTGTATGCGTGTGCAAATGACAATTAGATTACATGGTAATCAGTAGCACTTTGCAACCTTTTGGTTTTTCTACTCACTGTTTAACCCACGATGGGGTGATATGATCGCTCCCCTTTCAATTGTATGCGTCTAGTTCCGCGTACATCACATTTTCATAGTTGCCGTTTTTTATTAGTATATCATCAATATTCATGATATCTGGCTTTCACAGATGGATATCCACCTACCTCGACCACTATTGTTCACAGTATTATTTGTTGACGGCTATATTCAGCTTTTGGAAATTATAGTTCAATCAGGCAAATTCGTATCACTCTGATTTCGAGAATGGGACGGCCATTCTTCCATTTCTTTCTGATACTTTAGGTAGGGTGTGTGTTGATGTTGTATAACTGTTTCAGATCAATTTATTTACTAAAAATCATTTTATCCACGTACATCATTTGATGCTCTCCTTTAAAGTTGTATCATCTCATACCGCCATCATGTGTTTGATTTTAGCTAATGGGCTTGTTTATCCGCATATTCTCTCTAACGCCGTATGTGAGGGCGTACGTTTACTAGAGTACTACTGTATGATTTTTTGTTTACTGCCAAGTACCGGTGATCTATAGATTTGGTTGACTTTTAATTGTGTTGATAGAGAATCACGTACATGTTGCTTTCGCAGAATTGTTGTCGAGCAATGAATCGTCAACAGCAATCGTGTTATTGGCGTATAGCCTACCTAATGGTAAATGTATATTAGATCCCGTTTGGACGTAGTCAACCCATTTTATGAACTTATAAAACGACCCTTGAGTGTGGGGCCGAACTTGTGTCTTAGCCGTGCCTGGACCGATTACATTCAAACTTCACATGTACATATTTGTTTCATGATCTGATTCAAGATAGCCGACGCCCGGCTATTTTTGTGATACAAAATAATCAAAATCAAGCATTTCTGGCATTCCGCAACCGGATCTCTGCTGTCTACAGTTGGATTTTGTTCAACCTTGTACATACATTAAACATTATTGAACCCTGATGCACGTCATTGAAAATGACGAACTGATTTAAAATAGCCTACTGGCTGCCATTTTGTTCAAGTGCAATATTTTTGACTTGCTTTGACTGATCATGTTCAAATTTAATATTCATTATACATCCAGTCATCGATATCGAGATGTATTTAAAAAGCTTTTCCAGTCAATATCTATCAATATGGACAAGTACTCGTTTGAAGATCAGACACAAGATTAAGCATCAGCTTCGAGATCCATATCTGACATGTTTGTGTTCCAACTATATTATTATAACTGTGCCATGCATGGTTGTTTTCATAAATATACTGCA